TAACAAATGATAGAATGGGAGGAAATGGCCTCAAGTTATGGCAGGGGAGGTTTAGATTGGATATTAAGAAAAAAATTTTCACCGAAAGGGTTGTCAAGCATTGGAACAAGCTGCCCAAGGAAGTGGTGGAGTCACCATCCCTGGAGGTATTTAAAATACGTGTAGATGTGGTGCTTAGGGACATGGTTTAGTGGTGAACTCGACAATGGTGGGTTTACAATTGGACTCTGTGATCTTAAAGGTCTTTTCCAACAAAAATGATTCTGTGATTCTCTAAAGCCTCAAAATGTAATGCAAAGCTTTATCTTCTCCAGGTCACACATATTCACCTGATGTTATGTTAAATGATCTTCAGTTAAAAATACTTAGATTTGAAAACAGATACTAACAAGAAAATTGATTGTCTTTTAATCTACAGATGAAATTTTTATGTTTTAGACAGCTTGTGATGATTTAGTCATGCTGTTTAACCTTTGAGTGTTGATCGTTGCCTCTAAAAGACTCCATAATGTAATTATCTTCCCAGGATGTGCTAACTGCATAAAACACAGCCCTATGCTGACTTGTGAAAACCACTTCTCTGTTTTTCCTGTGTGTGTTATAATTAGAAGCTCAGGTGTCAGCATTAGTAGCATGTCAGATATTATCTGGAAAGATTTAAGTGAAAACCAGTATTTACCTCTTCTATTTAATTGCCTTCCAAAAAAATATTGGGATGCTCTGTTTAGAATACATTTACGATGCTATATCTAAATTCACAATATTCTTTAGTATTTTTATAGTTACATACTTTTGATTTAGAAAAGATTAACAAAAATAATTTTAATGCATATTTAATAACAAAACAACCTTCCTGTCTCAGAAAAAAATTCAACCAGGTGAACTATGATCTAATTTTCCTCTGTAATGAAAACAAAATTACAGCTCCTGAAGCATTTTTCTTGGCTCCCAGCACTTTCAAGGCATGCAAACATTACCATTTTGACTCTGAGCTGCAGTTTAACTGGAAGGATTATGTCACAACATAGTATGTTTGTTTTCAAGCTTTTTTGTCTGTTTGTCCGTCAAGACATTTTTGTAGAAGTATCGGTGATTGTTGACTTTGGAGGTAGTGGAAGAAAAAATAATTATGAAAATAAAATAAAAAAAAAAAGCAGACAGTACCATTGAAGTAACTGTGCTTCTGTCACAGGAGAATGAATACTCCTTTCAACAAATCTCTAATTTGCAGAAGTTGCAAAAAGAAAATAGCCGTAAGGTGACTGTTAACATACTTCAGTTCATCCTGCCAAGAAAGTTAACTTCATAAAGTCATTAAACCAGTGATTACATTTTAAAATATTATTCCCCAGCCATTTCTTCTTAGACTTTAAAATATAGTTACTGTATATACTACCTTCTTTGTAATGTGAAAAATTGTAAAATACACTTATTTTTCATAAACTCCTAATTATTAACAGAACTATTTGCGCTCCTATAGTTAAAGTCATTTCAACACTTCCGTTATTTAAACTTCACTTTTAGGGGTTCATAATTTGCCTGTAATAAAAATATATATTCAGACTCCAAGGTCTGAAATATTGTTTGCTGATATTAGGAAATTTAACCTGGTTTTCTTTAAGAAGCTAAGTAATTTGGGTTGTGTGCTATTCTTCAAGATAATCCAAACCAAAATATTTTGTAATGTGGACTAAATAATTTTGATGATTAATAAAATTAGGAAAAGACAGTGAATATGTTGGAACTGCTGCTGCCTCAAATTCTGTGACTGACACTGAATACAGCTGAGTCTTGGAGAAGTGAGATGGTGGGAAATTCTTGCCATATCTCCACCGTTGCCATATAGCAACCTCACATATGAAATGTTATGCCAGCATTTATATCACACCTATCTTCTGGAGTCACGGGCAGTAGACCCATTGCTCATGCAGTAAAACCCCACCATGCTTCCACTGTAGTGAAAGTTGAAAGACCTCCTGACTTCAAGGTTGCATAGCTGAAAATTGCTTTTCTGGAATGATAAATGCTTGGGTGCTGGGAGATTGATCATTTCTTCTTCCTGAAATCCCCCTTCATCATATAACGGAGCCATGGTAATGACTCAACAAGGCCTTCAAGTCCGGAAATTAAGGAATCGGGGCTTATTGCATATTAATGGTAACTCTGGGACAGTCAAATAAGACAGTTTGTTATAATACTAATTATAGCAAAGCACTCATGTTGTGGTTTGAATGAGTCAATTATGTGTGTGTTAAAACTATAAATACATCTTCCCCCCAACCTCGGTGGTGTGGTATGAAATTTTTTTTTAATTACTTGGATACATATTTACCTGAGCATATCCTGGTTTCCCAGGTAAATATGTGTACCAATGCAGAACTCATTATGGTCTGTTTGGATAAATAATCCATATTTTATAACTGTACAGGAAGTAATTATTTTTGTATTTTGCTTTCTTTAAACCAAAAAAATTAAATGTTGTGTGTTCATTCCTTAAAATAAAATAGATGCAAAAATCGAGGCAATAGGAGAATAAAGTTTTCATTGTTTCGGTAGAAACTGAGAATATTATTCCAAATTTTGATCTTGTGTTTAGCCCAGAATAACTCCTTTAAAGTAAACAGTGTTATTCAGGATTTACTTAGATGCAAATGGGAAGTGAATTTAGCCTCCTCTCCTTACTCTCCCTTAATTCATTGGGAGGTTCCTGTAAGCAGCATGCACATGGTCTTTGCTTTAAATGACATTGTCACGTGTTTATCATTTGGAAAAATAAGGTATTTCGGCTACACACAGAAATTAACATATCTGAATTTTATGGTAAGAAAATGAATGTCTTATAGAATCAGAGAATGGTTTGGGTGGGAAGGGTCCTATATGTGTTAAGGAACTAGAGCATACTTTCACGTTGGATATTTCTGCCATTGTTCTATATGATATTTGGAAAAGCTGTGTTGTGTTATCACCATGCTAAGGTCAGGCTTTGAAACACTTTTAAGCTTAGTGGGGCCAAAGTTAGCCTTGGCATTAATCCATTAACTGCAATAGATTTACACCAGAGATGAATATTGGCTCATTCTTGGTAAATTTATTTTTATCCAGCTCTTCATATTTTATGTTAGAAATATAAGTAGCTTGCATGCCCTCAAACTAATCAGAATAAGAAACAGTTTTGCTTATGCCAAAAAATAGAACTATCGTTTTTCACATTCTTACATTTTTCAAGTAAGATTATATTACTGTGACTTCTGAATTCCTGAAATCTCTCTGGTCTCTGTGACTGCAAGGGCCAAGAGAGGGTTTCAAGGGGAAAATCTGAAACTCTTCACGCAGTATGTTTTGTGTTGTGAGTACGAGATACAGTTAGAGTTTTGTATGCATGTGATTAGTGTGGAAAAAAATTAATGCAGTCCAGTATTATGATTTACGGACTGAATCTTTTGCCCACTGAACACTTGCCAAAATGAAAATCTTTTTCCCCTCCTCTCCTCCTTTGGATATTAGAAACAGCTACTGTTTTTGTTGATCTTTTTAACTTCTGAATAGGCCTATTTCAAGTCATAGCAGCATGGGAGCTCAGATTAATAATATACTTATTCAGCCAGTGATACTGAGTGAAACCATTGCTAGTGTGAGTGGGAAGGATAGGATTTCTTTAAATTATTTTCAGGTGCATTAATGCATTTCTGAAAGAAGAATATAGAGATATTTGAAAATAAATTAAATTTCTGTTTGTCGATTGTGTTACAGGTGTCTGAGTTTTAATATCAAACTTTTTTAAGATGTCTCTCCTTTTGATAACTTTTGTACTGTGCTGTCAGTCCATCCATCAGATGATTAACGAGGATAAGAGCAAAGATGCTATGATTAAATCTTGCTTTTTGGACAATGTTTTTTAATTTAGAGGATAAGGTGTGTTCCATACTGTGAATCTTTGCTATCCCCTCTGCTTTAAAGCATCAACTTACACCAGAAACAAAGGCTGGTGAGGTGAAAGGAGCAAATCCCATAGAGTTCTCTTGTGCATTTGGGTTGGACCTCCTAAGCTCAGCAGGCTAATAAGCATCAACTTGCACAACTTTAGTTTCTGATCTTGTACTGGTTTTGATATGACCTTTTTGTGTTTAAAGCAGCCCAGTTTCCTGCACCTACTGAAGGTGAATCCAAGGCTGATGTCGTTAGTCTCTTACAAAGAGATTTTTGCTGATTACAGGACGATTTAAGGAATTTGGGGCCTTTAGAGGCCCTGTCACGATGGACGTGAGGACATCTTTTTGCTTCGCACTCCTTTGGCCACCGCGTATCAATTTGTGTGGCATTCATTGCTCAATCCCATCTTCATCGCTTTCATGTCTGAATGTCCTGGTCTACTCAAGAAGGTTTTTCCAATTGTTTTATTAATAGAATCGATGTTTCCTATCAATTAATTCTCTTTCAAATGAAACGAGAGAATGCCTAAAAAAGTTCTTCAGGTGTGTCTGGTTTGTACTAATGATAAATCAAATAGGGGTAGGATTTATTTCAGAAAATATTTAGGTAAGCTGTTTAAAATTAATATTTGTTATTCTAAAAAATGGTGAGAGAGATCAGCCACGTTTCCACAACTGCAGATAAAGTGCTATGGCAAGAAATTGGCATTTTTACATTGCCTGAGAGAATTAAATGTTCTTTTTCTGGGATAATGTGATGCCAGGAAAGGAAAAAAAAAAAAAAAAAAAAATGTAGTGCTTTTGAAAAGCAATCATTTTAAATACAAACAAAAAAGCTTTTGCTTGAGTCAAGTCTTTCAGGCTTTTTATAAGATTGTAATTCACTTGACTCACAAGAGCCAAGTGAGTGACACCTTTGAGAGTCCCAGCTTGAGTTTTAGTGCATAGCTTGTATTTTGCTATGCACAACCATGCAAAATAGTATCTGAACTTATATAAAACAAACCCTAGTGAATAAATTTTTTAACACAGAAACAGCCATCCTAATTTATGAATTTATTTTAGTTGCAGCAAGCAGCTGAAGTTTCTCAGCTGAGAGGAGCTCGAGTCATCTCTGCTGAAGATCTCCTGTTCTTAATGCGCAAGGATAAGGTATAGTAATAAGATAGAAATTTCTTACTTTGAATAGAAGCTGCTTATCGTGTTTTAAAGTGCTTGCTTAACCTATGTGAAAGGAGTCCCTCATCATGAATAGCTTTATATAGCTGCTGTGCAATTGTATTGTATTGTGCACAGTACAATGATTTCAGTAACATCTTAATTAATTCTCTTTTTTCCCCCCAGTAACTTCAATTATTAACAGATTTTTTCACTAGCTTCAGGGTGGGTACTCTACCACAGAACCCAAATCAGTTTCTTAATAAAGGTATAAATATTGATCCTTATCCTTTATATCCCTTTTATTAAAAAATCATTCGTTTTAATTTCCTGCTAGTTATGCAGGGTGTCGATGTGGCATTTGTCAGTGCGACCATTACATTTTTGTCATCTAGGCTGTCAGTAAATTCTGTCTTGATTTTTCCTTTGTAATTTTTTTTTTTTTCCTGTACATTAGCTCACTAAAATCTCCAAACATCTCTTGCTTTCTCTGGATAATGAGAAGATCAGGACCATAATTTAATTTAAAAAAAAAAATCCATGTGAAGATTAAATTAATTTCCTTTCTTCAAATCAAAATTATGAAAAATTATTATAAATTGTTTTCATCAAGATTATTTATTCCTTTATCTCCTTTTCTTCCTTAGTTGCCACCTTTCCTGTCCCCTTTTCTCTTCCCTTTGTTTTTTTCTTTCCTCATTTGATAGGTGAAACCTAATGACCAAAACCATATCAAAATTAAAAAACTGTAAAACATGAAAACCAATTGGAGTTTCTTTATTTGATATGATCCATAAACCTATTCTGAAAACAGTGGTCAATATGGATATCAAAGATCATGATAATATGCATTTGTAGGTTTGAATTTCCAAACTCAGCAAAGATTTTGGAGTACCCTAAAGAAGCCTGATTTCTGAATTTCTCCTTTCTGAAAGTCAAACCCATTTCTGTCTCACAGTTGGCAAGCAAAGTACCATGGAGCTCAAATAAATAATATTTAATGTGGGATTGCTACCGACCTTGATGTACTTTCTATGTGTGGATTTTCTGCAGAATCAAAAATTATGAATATTTGAAAAATTATATTTACTGAGTAATATATTACACATTTGTATGTTTGTGTGTTGCAAAGTTAGTCTAAATAAAAAATAACTCTATATAATACTAATTAATATAAATATATTTTTTTCTCTTAGAAGAAGCTTAGAAGGCTACTTAAATACATGTTTTTTCGAGACTACAAATCTAAAATTGTCAAAGGAATAGAAGAAGATGACCTCCTTGAAGGTAGAAAAAAAACCCAACTTAATCTGGGGGAGGCTTGATGTTTTATAAATGCACTGAACAGCTCAATGCAAAGTATTAATGTCTTGCTTAATAGTTATAGACACAAAAATATTGTCTTCAGAGTAATTTGGTTTAAAATCCCTGCTTTTCCGTTTGATATACTTCAAAAGTAAGTATTTGCATCTACCATCCAAATAATAAGAATGTTTAATGTCCGAACTCTGTTGAAGTAAGAAACTGATGGTGATTAAAAGGATAATTGATTTCAGCATGTGTTAATTTAAATTCAGCAGTTACCATGTGCAATTGAATGGACATTTGTTAAATTATTTTCAAAGGGTTTTGACATGTTTTACAAAAAAAATTCTATAATCTGGTCATTGAATACTAATATGTGACCTGGGCTGTGGTTTAGCATTTTCTACTTTGAATCTGTAATTTAAAGAATAGGAAACACTTTTGTTTCCTCATTCCTTGAGCAAGTTACAGATTTTATAACCAATGCATTTAAAGGAAAAACTCTTTAAATTAATAATATATTAAATTATGCCATATAATTTGTTAGTATAAAGGGGTTTTTACTTGTATTAATAGACGAATTAGCATTTTCTTTGTAAAAGTTTATGTTAAAACTTATCATGTCAAATCTAAAGCTTCCCATACTTGTATAATGTCTAGCAATGTCCATACACAACTTTTTGTATTTAAATTATTTCCTTTCTCAGACCCTTTTATTTTTTATCATTTTTTTTTTCGGTACAATGAATTCCTTGTGTATGGTTCCTCTGAGCATCCACATTGATGTTAGGTAAACATTGTGCTTCTTGCTTTGATTTAGCAATCTGTGGATAATTTTTTTGTCAACTCTTTTGAGATTTAATTTACCCGTGGCATTTTATTTTCACCACACGTGAAAGTATATTGTTTTGTGCAAACAATCTGGCAGTATGGCTTCCTACCTGACAGCTTTGTTCCTTTCATACTTTTTTCTGTGTCACTATTTAAAACAAATAAACAATTTTCATGATCCATTTAGATGTTTATTAAATGCTTCCTAAACACAATTCATCTGGGAATTAAAGATTGTATTTTCTAGCAGGCTTTGGTAATTGAAGCCATTAATTTTGTTTTGTAAAGCTGATGTCTTTATGGCTGCTATTCTGTTTAGAACAGAGATCACCTTCTCAAGGTTCTCCAGGTTTTACTGCAGAACAATGATCCATCACCTGTGGAGGTGCATCTTTGTGTTTGTGTCCTGGTTTGCTTTAGACTGGAGGTAAAGAGGATGTTCTGCCTGCTTTCAGGAAAGAGCATTTCCTCTATATATTCTAGTACCAGTGAGGTTTTTGTACAACCAGAGAAGGTTGGTTTCTTCTACAGCTCTGTGCACTGTGGATCCTTCAGTGAGAAATAATGATATATGAGCAGTAGACCAGGTTTCTCTAGATTACAAAAAACCCACTAACTTACACTAGAAAACACTAGAAGTTATTTTTTTACTATGGTGCTACTGCAGCACAACATTGACATCACTTTGCTCAGGTAGCACACCTTCTATGAGGAGGACAGGAAGAGCAGACCTTTTCTGCACAGTGCATCTGCTGCTAAAACATGTCCCTCCAAGGGACATCGGTTGATGTTTGGAGAAGCCAAATAACTAAGTCTGTTTTTTTTACTTACCTTTGTGAAGACAAATTCAACAGTAATAACACCAACAAACGGCAGAAGCTTGCTCAAGACTTTCTCAACTCCATTGACCAGACTGGAGAGCTCTTAGCCATGTTTGAAGATGATGAGATTGATGATGTCAAGCAAGAGCGAATGGAGGTAATTCTTTTCTTTTACTGATACCCAGCTCCAGCAGAGAAAACCATGAAATATTCATACATCATGCTGGTCTGATGCCTTTTTCTTGCTGCACATTATATCATTGTTACATGTTTTTTCCTTTTGCCCAGATGGTCTAAAGGAATCCTATTTCAATATTTTTCATGTTCCCTCAAATGTTTCCTGATACCTAAGCAAGCATGCTGAGAAAGAAGATTTTGAATGGTAGTTATGGATCTTTGTCTGACATGTATTTGTATTTCCTTCCTGTAGAAAGCAGATTCCATTTATAAACATTTCACACACATTTCTCACAATATTTTTTTTTCTTTTTCATTATTCCTCTCATTAGAAAATTGTTTCAATAGCAGTTGAGGACTCTTTTTATATAACACAGTTTACAGATGAAATTAAAGTATTCTGTGGAAACATGATTCAGTATATGCTCTTCTCTCCATCCTGCTTTCAAGTCCTATTTTCTGTTCCATGTACTTATGAAAAATTATGTCTACATTACAGAAGGTGGTACCATATCACTCTCAAAAAGCTAGGTGAGATCAAGCAGCAGTATAACTGTAATATAGTGGTAGTCTGTGGAATGAGGGTTTTAATATCAGTTGGTTCTGATACCAGTTTTACTCAGTTTCACTGAGGTTTAGCTATACTATTTCTTCACTGTGAGGGTGGTGAGACACTGGAACAGGTTGCCAGAAGAAGTTGTGGATGCCCCCTCCCTGGAAGTGTTGAAAGCCAGGCTGGATGAAGCCTTGAGCAACGTGGTCTAGTGGAAGGTGTCCCTGCTGATGGCAGGGGGATTGGAACTGGATGATCTTTAAGGTCCCTTCCAATTCTAACCATTCTATGATTCTATGATACTGGCACAAGGTACTACATCATAGCAAGTTTGCCTTATAGATCTTATGAACCCTGTATCCTCTCTATCAGTAGAACATCTTCTTGAATGTCATTTACTCTGAAGTATTTATAAGATCCAAAGGCTGTATCTGTACTAATTAATAAACTAAGGCAGGGCCAGTTCTTTGTCCCTGAGGGCAGGTGACATGGCCTGGCTTGGGTCCCTGTGGCTACATTTTCTGTAGGTGGAAAGGGCTACCCTGTCTTTTTGGTAGCCCTGTCCATAGCAAATATGGAGAACAGTCCATGGACCCTGTTTGTGCTCAGTTCCTCCTCATGTCTTGTGTGGGCAGCTAGATGTCAAGGGCAAAGCTCTGCTGGGAGCACATTCACAATTCCACAGTAGTGTTTGAGCCAATTTCCATCCTTTTTAGTCAGTAGAGTAGTGTATGTGATTGTTGGAAACTTGCTATTTTTAGAGTGCTTTTTATACCTTTCCAGTGCTAGAAGCTGGGTTCTTTGGTTTGATTTTCTTTTCTATGCTGAGGTGCCTGATACTTTCAGTAATATTTGTATATTTAATATTTGACTATTAGGGCCTCATTTAACTTTCAGGATTTCATAGATAATTTTAAGAAATAATGTGATTTTTGTCCTGCTCTAGTTGTAAGTCTCATTTTTTCTTCTCAGTGGAGCCCCTTTTCAGAACTGTGACTTTCCCAGTCCTGTTTTCCCTTACTTTCCCAATTATAATTACTCAAAATCTAATCAAGAATCATTTCTCTCTAAGAAATTGGCTAGTGACAAGTTCTATTTCTCACCAGCTGAGAATCAGTGTCGTAGAACAGTTGTTGCCAACCACTGTTTGTGTTTTGGAAACTAATGGTTTATTTCATTTTCTTTGCTTTCTTTCTTATTTATTTATGCAAAATGTTATGTTTTTCATAAAGGCAGGCAAATCCTTTGAGCTTTTATGCACAAAAATACATAACAGCACTGTTCTGAATGAATGGGTTATGTGCTTGGCTTTACATTCTGTCATTCAAGTATAATATTTTTTGGTCTAAAAAAACTACACAAGTTGCTAGAAGTATGAAGTTCCCTGTCCTAGACAAGGACAAATCTGACTCTATGTCTGTGAAGGAGTGTGTTCCTGTAATCAAATATTTATCTTTCAGATGACTACGTTTTGTTTTTTCTCACTCCACTATAATTCATGAACTGTAGTGTGTGTGTATATATATATATATATATAAAGTAATTCTTCTCTCTTTAGTTCTACTTCATTACATTTTATGAACTCTTGATCTGTCTCCATGTTAAAAAAAAAAAATCAAGATCATCGAATCATACAGGAAATCCGATAGACACATTTAAAAATTCTAATGGCATTCTTTAAGGAGTTAGTGTACTTAAATAATGAACTGTGATCTAAAGACATTGTTCCTTTTAGGTATCAATTACTTCAAAAATGTGTAGTTATCTTGGTTTGGACAACTGTAAATAATTTCAGTTCCACTTTGCCTTGGGCCAAAATCATGCTAAGTTGTCCAGAGCAGATGATAAGCATATATTTCTGATGTCATTATGGGCTAAACAGGATATGATTGTTTAGCAGTATGGTTTCAGTTATGATACAAAAAGCAAATACTGTTTATGCTCTTTTTTAAAAAACATTTTTTAAAATTAGGGCTAAGACTTCATGAGATTGCTTGCTGTTCTGTGAGATCTATTCCATATTTGTACCATGGAGAAATAAGGAAAGCACCAAACCACTTTCAGACAATACTAAAGGAGAACAAACGATTCTACACTTTTGACTAAAAAACACCCACTAACGTTGTCATTTTAAAAAGAAAGGACATTCTTCTTGTATATAGATAGAATCATAGAATGGTCTGGGTTGTGAAGGACCTTAAAGCTCATCTAGTTCCATCCTCCCTGCCATGAGCAGGGACACCTTCCACTAGACCAGGTTGCTCAAAGCCTCATCCAACCTGGCCTTCAACACTTCCAGGGAGGAGCAGCCACAGCTTCTCTGGGCAACCTGTTCCAGTGTCTCACCACCCTCATAGTAAAGAATTTCTTCCTCATATCTCATCTAAACCTGCCCTCTTTCAGTTTAAACCCATTTCCCCTTGTTTTGTCATTAACTGCCCTTATGAAAAATCACTCCCCAGCTTTCTTGTAGCCCCTTCAGGTACTGGGAGGCCGCTATAAGATCTCCCCGGAGCCTTCTCTTTTCCAGGCTGAACAGCCCCAACTCTTTCAGCCTGTCCTCATAGGAGACGTGCTCCAGCCCTCGGAAGTATCCTGTGTTTTTAATTTGAAGCAAAGGAACTCTCTCTAAAACAGTAATAATAGTCATGTGGAAAGGAAAATTAAATACTCTAAATATACAGGGCAGAAATTAAGAACAAAATTCACATTACTTTGTCATAATACATCATTACAATATCGATACATTGTAATTAGATGATGACTTATAAAAACTCCAGTAATAGCATTAAATAGTGGCAAACCAGCCAACTATATTGGCAAAATCGAAACAAAATCAGAAGCGTAATAGCACCTCTGTCTCATTGTGGAACCGTTAGTATTTTGCCCTCCTGAGATAGCAGTGAAACACCAGTGAAACGCTGTTCCTCAGAGTAAGAACAGTTATAGATGGAATAAACTGTTCTAGTTCATGGATGTAATTGAACTGTGCTTGTGCAGAAAAGCTATCTGGATGATAGAAGTTGCCTTCATAATAGGTGACAGTCTCTTGAGAATAACACAAGTAACAGTGATCTACCTAACACCCCTTTTTATTGTACAGGTTAGACTCTAGAATAACCAGAGCTGGTGGTACTCAGGGATTCAATTTCCCTTCTATTGTATGAGAGAATTAATGAAAAATAGAACCTTGTGAGTGGATTGTAATTTTGTTTTCCTCTGTCTCTTAAAAATGATTTAGAGTGGAGAGTTGGGATTCCTGTGGGATATGGCTGAATTGGTGTGGGGAGAAGGTACATACTCATTTAAAATCTTTACAGTTTTCCTTATTTTGCAGTTTGGGTAGAGATGCGGTTTGGAGTGTTTGTGTCCTTATGTTGCTAGTCTGAACCTCTCAGGTAACCTGTCCCTAGTCAAATTAGCTGCAGATTTGGCTGTGATTTTGTGAATGGTCACACTCCAGTTCTGCTAAATTTTTGTATGAGAACCATTGTCAAATTTGCCATGTCTTGTTATTAAAATAATGTATAGCTATTTTAAAACTTCACTCAATGTCATTGCAAAGCTGATTTCTCTCTTATTCTGTAAATATCATTTTTTTAATCATTTGTTTTATACTTTCACCTCCCCCACCAAGATAAGGTCTTCCCATCAGCAATTTGAACTGACATACAAAGGAATGCGTAGAGTATCACACTGTCAATGCTCTGTTTCGCTTTTGTTGCCTTCGGATAAAGAAAATCACCATTCATCTGTCACTCTGACTACTAGTTTAGGGATATATTCCCAACACCCAGATGTTATATGGCAATAATTCAGTTGCAGTAGCTACCATATTGCTTTCATGGTACATTGCAAGTTTGAATAAACAGTGGAGGGAAAATAACTTTCCTAGAAGAATCCACTACTTTAAAAACAGGGTAGATTCCAGCAAAATGTTAAAACTATGTTACATTCCTACAGAAAGGGACTGGCAGAACTTTGGGGTTCTTTAAGGTGTATTGTCCTATGAATTACATTAGGTATTTAAAAACTACAGATACATATTATTGTTCTAGGAAGTTCATTGTGGATGTGATTTTTCCTGTGCTTCTCATTTGTATTCTTCTGTTAGTGGGAAATCTGTAAAAACTCAGACCCTATGCAAAATACAGTATATTGCAATAAAGTTTGGGTGCATTTGGAAGGTATCCTTTTTTCACGTGAGGGTTAATTAGTCCCATTAAATTTTATCTTTGTTCAGAAACATTTAATTTGTGTCTGAACAAGACACCTAAATGTACCAAAGGAATCATGCTCTGGAAGTCCACTTTGTTTCAATCATAGGAATACAGTAGACGTGACATTTAGTTGCGTCTCTAGTAGTAAATTAGGCAAGGACCAAGAAAATTCCTTCCTACTGGAATATGATCATCTATATTAAAACT